GCCTTATTCAGGCTAGAGATATGTATTTCAGCTAAACTTAAAAATTTTCCTTATTCTCATTTTTTGTTGGTTTTCCCCCTAAAATCTGGAGCAAATTCACCACTGATAAAGGTTAGTTTTGTTCTGTTTGTTTCAAGGTTTGCATTAGGTTATGAGTGGTGCAGACTGAATTGTTTACTTAATTAACCAATTATCAAGTGGCATTCTTTTTTCACAGTTCTGGAAGTCTCTGATTAGTAAACTGGCATTGTGAGAAGACAGCAAAAGCAAGCTGAAATGAACCAATGCAGCTATTACTAGTATGAACCCTGAATTCTGGCTGTTGGCCAAGCACTTAAGTAATCCAAATGCTGTCTTTTCATTTCAAGTGTCTTCTACTTCTCTAGTTTTATTTCATTTGTTAATTTACAGAACAGAAACTGCATTTTAATCTGCTGTGCTATTTCCAGTGTTTTATAAGCAACCCACTCGTGGGGAGGGCGGGGGTATAAATTAAATAAATAAATAAAACCCATTGAAAGTTGCACCCCAAATATGAACAAAAACTGCAAACTTTCTGAACGACCATGGGGAACAAAAGAGAAAGATTTGCTGTTTCATCCTCCCATCTCGTACTAATGGATTAGGCCTAGTGTAATCCTTTAGCTTTAAGAATAACATGACATCCACAGTCAGGAGGTATACAGTAACCAGAGGTCATTTCGGGGGGGATCGGGGGGAATCGCAGTTCCCCCGGGTGAGGTATGGGGGGCGGGACACATGATGAAGCCCCGCCCCCTGCTTCCGGCCGCCCCGCTTCCAGCCCTCATTCAGCCAGGAGGAGGCAGGAGAAGAGGGAGGGTAACTTGCTTCCTCCCTGCCTCTCCCCACCCCTGCCTGCCTGGGGCCAGGGAGGGCCTTCGCGGGGCTTCCTTGCACTCCTGCCGGCCTTGCAGGTCCACCGCCGGGCCCCTCATGGGGCTCGGCAGTGGAGCTGCAAGGCCGGCGGCAGCGGCCGGGACCGTTGGGGGCGGGGTGTGTGGCCTTATGACACACTTCCGGTGATGTCAGGGGGTGTGGCCTTATGACACACTTCCAGTGATGTCAGGGGGTGTGACATATGCTAATGAGTTATGCTAATGAGTTCCCCTAGCTCTTTTTCTACGAAACGACCCCTGACAGTAACTCTCCCTCGGAAGAATGTTTTAAATATTCAGGGTCTGACATATTTGTGATGAAGGATTTTTACATAAATTCATGGTTTTCTCTGTTCTAGGTTCCCCCTGGCCATGTTTAAGGGATGGGGGGGGGTAGGGTTGCCAGATCCAGGTTGGGAAACTCTTTGCAGATTTGGGAATGGAGACTGGGGAGGGCAGGGACCTCAGTGGGGCACAATGCCACAGAGCCCACCCTCCAAGGCATCCATTTTCTCAAGAGGAACTGATCTCTGTAATCTGGAGATGAGCTGTAATTCCAGGGGATCCCCTGGTCCCACCTGAAGCCTGGCATCCCTGCTGTCTGTTCCCCTTAGTGTGTGGCACGGCTGACTAGCTTTTGTCTTCTGAATGCTTTGCTCTGCTGGCACTGTTATGTGGGGCATTAACTTTCTTTGCTTGAGTAACATTCTCTGCCTGAGCAACTGAGGCACGGGCTTATGCCTATCGTTGCCTCTTGGGGCTGCACAGCCACCAGCTGAGTCCCTGAGATGCTGGCAGTGGTGCTCCAAGCTTGTCCACCTAAGTACAACCCTTGTCTCCAAGGTGGTCCGGTTTTGCTTGAGGGACGCACCAGCTTCTTCATAGGTAGATGTTGCATTTTTTCAGCTCTTGGGCCAGAAGGGGTTCCTACCTTTGTTCTAGATAATCTTTTGGTCTCCTCTGCCTCAATGATTCTTCTTCTTCTTCTTTTGCCATCAAGTCAAGATGACTTCTGGTGACCCCTAGTGGGGCTTGGACATTTCAGAGAGGTGCCTGGCTCTGCGTCCCAGCCCTGGTATTCCTTGGAGGTCTCCCATCCAAGTACTAGCCAGGGCCGGCCTTGCTTAGCTTCCGAGATATGATGAGATTGGGCTGGCCTGGGCTATCCAGTTCAGGGCTGCTTTTATGATTCTTAATCATTTTAGGCAATAAAAATGGTGGTGGCAAGCAATGTTCCCTCTAAGCTGAGTTAGTGTGAGCTAGCTCACACTAACTCAGCTTAGAGGGAACACTGGTGGTAAGTCTATTGGATATGGTGCTTTTGTTACTGGCCTCAACAAAATGGGAATAGAACTCTGGCTCTTAGTTTGCTTTACCTGCCTGCTTGCTTCTTTTTAGTTCAGCCCTTTCTGGTCCTGGACCTTATGAAAGAATTCTGGTTTGTAGCTAGGAGGGAAGGAAGTGGGGCATTCACACTGCAGGTCACGTTCTTGAGACCAGAGTTAAGTGTCCATACTTTAAGTATAAAAAGTGATGGCATGCAGCTGGCTTATAAAGCTGTAGTTGGCCTTCAGAGAAGAATTTTTTTTGAAGAAACATTCTGTGAAGCTCGACAGTTTTTCCCAGCATGCCGATTTGGAAAAAAAGCATTTTGTCAAAGCTAGCAAAATACAGAAAGCAAGCTAAAAGAAAACAAAGGGTAATGTGGCAAGGCCCACAGAGGCAAGAATGCCATCTATCAGTTGCAGCTACTTCACTAATTCTCTCCATTCTTAGAATTAGCCGAGCTGATCCATGCTTTTGTAACCTCATGGTCAGATTACTGTAACATGTTCCACGTTAGAGTGCCCTTGAAGTTAACCCAGAATTGTAGCTGGTCTGGAAGCAAGCAGCCTGATTATTGTCAGAGGCTAGCCAATGGGAACACATCTTGCCCATTTTGAAACAGCTACATTACTACCAATTTGTTTCTGAGTTCAGTTCAAGGTGCTGGGTATGATCTTCATGGACTGGGGCCCACACATCTGAAGGACTGTCTCCTCCCATATATTTCCATGCACCAACTACAGTCTTAAGGTATTTCTGGGTTTTATTGTATACTATAAAGAATGAAGATCCAGGGACAGCACAAAGTTTGTTTTATTTAGTGACTTCAACACACATGACTCTGTAGAGTGTAATGATAAATAAATAAACGAAGAAGAAGACAGGTTCCTGACCCAATGAAATTTATGATCCAAATCATGAGGTAAGAAGGGAAAGAAAAAAGGATAAGAGGTGATGGATATGCACAAATGCATCTACACGTCCTTAGGCTAAATTTCAGTTGGGCATGAGAGCTAAAGAATTAAGCTAAAGGCTTTATGGGTTATAAGTTTAGGTTTCAAGGAAAAGAGAGGTGAGCAGCTCCACACTAGGTGCATTCGGTATTTACTGAGCCAAATAAATACCTGAATAATAACATTCAGCATACTAAATCAGAGCATCTATTTGGTAGCCAAATAGAGATTCCCGAATGCTAGTCAGCTATTATTTGGCTCCATTATACCTTATGGGGCCATTATAGTCAATGGCAAGTCTTTTAGGGTATATTCAATGATCTGGGGGGTGGGGAAGAGGGTTTGGGGCACCAAATTTTCAGTGTAGCTGCTGGAGCCTCTCCCCAAAAGGACCCCCATGTTTCAAAAAGATTAGGCCAGGGGGTCCAATTCTATCAGCACCCAAAGTGGCTGCCCCAATCCCCCCAAAATAGCAAGGCAATACAAGCCCAGCAGAATGTAGCAGAGAATCTCTGCAGTAGACAGTGAAGTGTATGGGGGGCATGCCAAACTGGCTCTCATACATTGCACTGGTTCTGTTTGTCCTTGCAGAAATGCTCCCCCTTACTTCAGAGGCTCTTGTATTCTCAGATCTGATCTTAGTCCTGTTGGGTTTTGGCACTGTTCTACTGCTGGCCTTGGAAAAATGCCACCCCCCCTTCACTTTCAATTACCTCAAACCACCCCTCATCCCATTGAATATACCCTAAGAGATTTGCCATTGAGTATAATGGCCCCATAGGGTATAATGGAGCCGTATATATTCGGTATTACCGAATATTTCCTGAATCTGAATACAATGCCGATACTGGTATTCGAGAATATTCAAATATTCAGGAATTCCGAATAAATTAGGCTCTCTTAAATCCTAAACAGGCCCCCCCCCCTTGCACACCCATATTCCACACAAGTTCATGGAGGGAGTTTCAAGCATAAATATGGTCAGCGATGAATATGAAAGAAGGAAAAGAAAAATATGTAGTAAAGTCCGAATATGGAGAGAAGAGGCAAAAGTTTTTTTAAAAAAATGATACTTGTAGAAAGATCTTGCTTTAAATGGATGAAATAACTGGGCTGGAAATCCTGCAAGAAAAAACTCTAAGTGCTAGTTTTAATGAGTACATAAAGTCACTGGAAAAAAGCAAACTTTCTTGTATCCTTTTCACAGCTCCAGTTGCAGCTCATCTCAAGAAGTGCAAAAGCATGTAGAAGTGAAGATCAAAATAATCAGTCTGTTCAGCACACGCACTGTGCAGTCCTGAACAGAGCTACTCCCTTCTAAGCCCAGTGACTTTCATGGAATTAAAAAGTGTATAGCTCCATTCAGGACTGCACAGTAAATTAGGCAGAGTTTGCCTTTCAGATATATGCCAGTTTTGATATCCTCTACATGTACTATGTCTACCCATATAGTTCTCAAAGGTGGTACATCTCTGAAAACCAGATGCAGAGGACCAAAACAGAGGGGAGGCTGATGCTGTCATGACCTAAATCTTTATGCATCTTGGCTCTGAGTGGCCCCTTCTAATGGCTGCCCCCACCCTCTTTTTTCCTGTAAGTAGCCCATGAGGAGATTTTATTCCAATTTGTCTGAAGAAGTGTGCTTTACACACAAAAGCTTACACTTTGACTAAAACTTTGTTGGTCTTAAAGGTGCCACTGGACTCAGACTTTGTTCCGAGAGGTACATGGATGGGCAGTTTGGAAACAGCATGACAAACTGCACAGAACCTTGGTCTGAGGCTGTGGTCCTCTTCTTATGTTTTTAGTACAGAAAATGCCTTACCTCGTTTGCATCTTGCTGGTCTCTCAAGGCAATCATATTCTTAATGGCACTGATAAAAAATCCATTCACCTCCTTTTGCTTCTTATTTGGAAAAATCCGGATCAGGGGAATCATTATGAATGGAAATGCAACTTCAAGAGAATTTCCAAAAAAAAGAAAAAAGGCAACATTAGCAATTAATGCAATTATCCTCAAAACCTAAAGTGATATTTTCTCCTTTGTTGGGGATTTTTTTTTATATACTGCTAATTTCTCTCATTTTGTTAGTCTTGATTAGAGAGTCTCCCAGGCCTTCTAACCTCTGATTGTTATAAGCACTTGGTTGCAAGATGGCTTCTCAAAGGCTGTGCTAATTTACACAACTGTCTAGAGACAGGGAGGAAAATTCAATGCGACTTAAGGGCTTGGTATTACTGCAGCAAATGCTAAAACACACAATTAATTATGAAGTTTGTTTTGTTTTTAAAGAAAGAAAGAAAGAAAGAAAGAAACCTCGCATAGGCCAACCTGCAAGACCTGATCTCTGAAAATATGATTAGGATGTAGCCTTAATTTCATTTCCATCATCCTTTCTTGCTTGGGGAACCCAGGCTGCCTTATTTAATCCTTTCTACCCTTCTCCGAAAGAAACTAGCTGCACTAAACTGTATTTACAGGCTCCTGGGATGATCAGAAGGACTGTCCCATGGATACGGGAAGATTTTATGTAAATACACCCTTTAAGTTAGTGAACCATGAAGTAGAAGGTCACCGAAGGCTTTTTCACATGAGGAATTTGCCCTGAAGTACAATTTTTCTTTTGTAGTAACTACCCTGCTGCATGACTTAGTTGTGTTCATTGCATAGATTTGGGCCTTGACTACTGGTTCCTAGAATGGGGGTTAGAAGTTTGGATTAAAGTAGAGAAATTCCAGATCTAAGTAGCTGTCATAGCAGTAGGTTTCCATACTAATTATATCTGTGAATTTTTAAAAAGTTGCCTCATAAAAAGGCTTTTGGCTATCATAATAACACTGCCATGATTACATAAAATAATCACAACAGATACCCTTAAGAATTTTGTTTTGCATTTTAGCCTTGAACATATCTAGTGCTGGGCCAGACCTTTGGCCCTTGCTGAATCTTGACCACTCTCTACTGAAATCTCTTACAGATATCTTCTTGATCTGGTTGCTATCTGAATACCAAAAAATGAAATATCTGAAACAAATACAAACAGATGTACAAAACCCACTCCTGAAATTAATGTGCTGTTTTTTTTCTCTGTGAAGAAACTTCTACATTTGCTGGAAATAAAATCAAGTGGTGACCTGGGGAACCACGGTCCACTCTTCTGAGGTGCTACGTTTATCAACACTCTTTTGTCTCTCCTTGAAATTGTGCTGACGTTTCACCGAAGGAACTCCCAAAGTGCCTTTGAATTTTTCTTACAGTGAATTTTCAGTGGTGTCATCTAAAAACCAATATAAATAACAGCTCCTGCATATAGCCTGCTTGGCATGCTTATGCGATTAGAATAAGACACACAAAGCCTACAAATCCAAGGAATTTTCTCCTCAGGGGAAGAAGAATCAATGGCTGGGATTTGAAGCATTTGTAGGAAGTGTATCAGCAATGAAAACAACTATGGCTGTCACCTTCAAGAAATCATATAGGTATGTCGGCTTGGCACACAGGTTGCATTCCAAAATGCTCTACAACAGAGAAACGTTATCAACAAATGTCACAATACACTTACTCGTTAGAATTAAGAGGGGTTTAAACAATGAAAGTTCAAAAAATCTTCTGCTGTTCTTCACAAAGTTTTCACGAGATTTCTTCTGGGAATCCACATGGATACCATAGGCCACACTAGCAACAACGTCCAGGGTGAAGGAGGCGTAATTCCTATGTCAAATTCAAGAGTGTTGCTTTTAAATTGCAGCTTCTTTCACTATTTCTGTTTCTGCATTTGCAGCACAAAAGCTTTGCATTTTCTTTTCTTTTTTTGCATAGATGTATGTCTGTTTATTTTACAGAGTTTGTATTTTTATGCACATCAAATATTTTTTAAAAATTACTTTCACTAAGTCAAGAAAGGCTTCCAATATTCAAAACATCATAAAGTTTCCTCTGAAATGGATTATAAAGAAATCTTATATACCTTGTTTTATTGAAGGAAAGAAATTGTACTTGTAAAACACAAAATGGAAAACAATAGCTTGGGTCTTAACCATTTCTCCACCATACCATATTCAGCTCCTAATAAGAATTGCTTTTCTGCGGTTTTTACAATGCAGCTGTGCTTAGCAACATCTAGATTTCTGTAATCAATACGTAATTCTAGAGCAGTAGTTGGAATCTTCAATCATAAGTGCTTTTTAAATGTGTTCTCCATTTAAAAAACAACAAAAACCTCACTGTGAACCTGTCTGAAATTTGCTTACTTGCTGAGAAGCAGATCTCTGCCTAGCAGAGTGATAATAACTTCATCAGGGTTATAAAACCTCGTATCTTAAAACTGCGGTCCATGGATCAATGGTGGTTCGCAGAGCTGTTATCAGACTGCGGGGAGCTGGTGGACACAATGAGAGCATTCTCCGTCTCTCTTTTTTTCCTCTCCAGCTGTTAAACTTCATTAATAGGCAGCTACAGATTAGATACTCTGCCACCATTACTTTGCCCTGTAATTGCTGCTATTAAATAAGCTGCTATAATAAAACAAATGGAAAAGATACCTTCCTTCGAAAAGGACAGAGTCCACATCAGAAGGAGGAGGGGGAAAAAATAAAATAATAAAATCCCTTTTGTAAAATAATTGCATATTTAGAATAGCTCGGCAAATCAAGTACCTGTAAAAAGTTCTCTGTTTTCCTAATTTATTAAAGTACCTTTGGATGTCAAAAGAGGCGCTGGAATCTGCACAGTCCTTTAAGTGACTCAGTAGGATGTCGCATGCCTGGTTGATTAGTGGAGTCATCTAAAAAGGAGCACATACACGTGGCATAATTAAAAATACAATAAATTTCTCTACATTAATTATATACAGTAGGAGGTAAGTGCCCTCTAGAGCTTCGGAATCAATGGATAAAGTAATTTTCTTGGGTTAAAACTCCCCCACATCTTTACCCACACACAGACAAAGACACACACACAAGGCCCTCCTCTACGTTTTGTTCACTCCCCATATGGATGACCAGAGAACCTTGGTTTCTCTGCTTGGTTTGTTCCTGAGATGGCTTCCTCTTTGCTCTCAAGTGAAAAAGTTGTCCGACCAATTTATGACAAGTGGAACTTGCAGATTTCAAAATCCGTCTAATATAAACTGGAAGCTGTAAAACCCAACAAGACAACCCTGGGGAAGAACAGATTTGAGTTCAGTAGCACCTTGGAGAACAACCAGAGCAAAGTGCGGTTGCAGACAGTGGGCTCTCTATTGTTAGCACTAGGGCTGGTTTCTCAAGACCTCCCCGGTAGGAAATCAGCACCTGCACTATGGTAGACCACTTCCTTCTTTGCCACTGTCCTTCTCCCCAATCTACTTGCACTGTCCCTGTCTAGCTGTGGGGGAAAGGACAAAGCCTTTCTCACAGGACAGCAATTGCTTGATTAGTCTAAACAAGGGGCAGTCTACAGGCTTGCACCAAGTTGGCAAGAACCGAATGGATCTACCGACCATAGCCGATGCCAAGGATTGCAGGAGGAGAAGGAGGAAGAGCCGGAGGGAGCCGAGCCAGCATTGAGCCGCGGACCGAATCAAGAACAACAGCTCCTCCTACAGGGTGCCGGTAGGGTAGCCCCCACCCAATTAAGATGTGGCCATAGTTAGGGATAATAGAGTAAGTGTAAGCCGCTCAGAGACCCCTTGGGGGGGGTTCGAGCGGGGTAGAAGCCGAAAGTAATAAATAAATAAATAAATAAACCAGCCCTGTCACTGCTCATACCCTGACTGGCCATGGCATTGGGATCTGTCACAGAACACACCCCTGACCTCAGTGTGTGACCGTCATGAAGCCTACTCCATCTTTACTTCCACTGACCATGAGTGAGGGTTGAGGGGAGCAGTAGCTTCTTGCCATGGTGTAGGATGTGTGTGGAGGGCATGTGCCGTTTTCCTGCAGCCTGTCTGGGGACAAGGAGGGTGGGCACAGCTGTGACTCACTTCACCCAGCTGCTTAGGGAAGAGGACAGGCAATGCTACCTTCCTCCACCCTGCTTCACCCAGCCATTGTGGGATGAGACAGAGGGGGCAGAGCAGTCCCATAGCTACAGTGGGGCATCTCGGGGCCTGCCCCCTGACTTCCTGTCAAGGCCCCCTGACTTCCATCCAGCCCCCAGGCCCTTGAGCTGCCAGGAGGACTACCAACCCTCTGGGCCACCCAGAGGACTCCCCGCCCCCTTTTTTCGAAGCATGGCTTGCTTCTTCGTGTAGGCAGGCAGAGTGCGAACACTGCAAAAGTAAGTTTTAAAATTTTTTATCTTATTTTATGACGTCAGTGCCCCCTGACTTATTTAAAGCCCCCCCGAATTACAAGACCCTGGCTACAGGCCTGGGGCAGAGGCTTCTTGCTGTATTGCAGGGTGCAGGGTGGTGGCCGCCACCATGCCACATCTCCCCTAGCTGCCTGCGGCCAAGAAGAGTGGGCCCAATGCTTGGGCACTCTTCCTTGGGCCAGCCCTGCTAACCCGTGACAACTCAGGACAGTGAGGATTAGAATGTCAGAAAAAAGAAGGGCCAGTGAGAATTAGATTGTCAGAAAAAAGACGGAGGACCCTGGGCTGCAGTACTTATGGAGCCATGAAGCTCACTGCATGAGCCTTGAGCCACTCACAGAGTTGTGCTTCAGATAAAATTGGGAGGGGGGCTATGTCGCCTGCCTTGAGCTTCTTAGGGGTGTCGCAGGAGCTCGAAGACGACCCTTCACTGTCCTCGTCGCTCGAGCTCCCAATGCCCCTGAGCCCAGCCACGGTGTTTTCCCCCTCCTGGCCGAAAGGAAGATTGCGGCCTCAGACACCTGGATGGGGGAGGGAGGTTGCATTACCTTCTTTCTTCACCTGTCCCTGCTGGATGGGGCACCCTCTCTCTTGGCTTCACCCTACCATCCAGGAGTCATTCCTGGCCTCCTCTCCTTCCTTCCTTTTATCCCTTCCTCCCCTCTCCCAGTGTGCCCTGCTCCTCCTGGTGCTCCCTCCCCTCCCAGGCCCTGCCCTCCTACAAAGCCTCAGACGTGGCTTCAGGGGTGGGGTCCTCTCCTCTTCTGTCCCGGCTGTCCGGGGCCGCTGGGCTCTGCTACGAGCGCGGCCGTCTGTCTCCCGGCGCGGTGCTTCTTGCCCGTGTTGCTGGTTCTTTCCAGGGGCCCGGTGGGGGTGTTGTTGTTGGTGGCACCGCTGCCCGTCCCGCTGCCCCTGGTTCCCTCACAACCTGTCCTGCCTCCCTGGTGAGTATCGGGGGACTCATCGCGGGTCCCACAGGACCTGTGGGGGTGCTCCTTGCCGTGTGGGGAGGAGTCCCGTCCTCGGGGCTCCGGGGCGCGGTGCTCCTTGCCGTGGGGTGTGTGGGAGTCCCGTCCTCGGGACAAGGGGAAAACCTGCTCGCAACACTCATCACTGCTTAACCAGGCAAGTGAGTGAACTGTGGATAGTGGCATGCATCAGTCACTGCTGCGTGAGTTCTGACATTCTAGCAGAGGAAGAGGAGGAAAGAGGCCTCCTGTCTAGGGGGAAGGGGCCATTGCTCAGCGGTAGAGCATCTGCTTGGCATGCAGAAGGTCCCAGGTTCAATCCTTGGCATCTCCAGTTAGAAAGACCAGGTAGTAGGTGATGTGAAGGATTTCTACCAGAGACCCTGGAGAAGCACTGCCACTCTGAGCAGACAATACTGACCTTGATGGACCAATGGTCTGATTCAGTATAAGGCAGCTTCGTGTGTGTGTTCAACAGCAGGGCCCATTGCCTCTGTCTGAAGTGGTGAAGTGTACATTAAGGGACAGAGTGAAAATCCTTCCAGCGAGCTCAATGCGGCCACTACCACCATCCCAGGGTGAGGCAGTAAGCATTGATGCTGCATAGTGGTGCCCCCCCAGGCAATGGAGCCTCAGCAGCTGCCTATTGAAGCCTCCCCCTGATTTATTTATTTATTTATTTATTATTTTCAATTTATATCCCGCCTTGCTTGGAACCGGCTCAAGGCGGCAAACAACATTAAAAGCAATAAAACAGTCAATACACTAAAATACAATAAATACATAAACAACTATCTAACATCATAAAATCTAACAGGAACAGTGCAGATGATGGTGGCATCAATATACAATCCCCTCAAGGGAGGCAGTATCCACCGGTGTTTTATATGGGCCATAGCGTGTTCTGGTGGCACATTTATCAGTGGTGGCTCCTAATCGAAGGCCTGGTGGAAGAGTTCCATTTTACAGGCCCTGCGGAACAGTAAAAAGTCCCGCAGGGCCCTGATGTTATCTGGGAGCTCATCCCACCTGTGCGGAGCCGCCACTGAAAAGGCCCTGGCTCTAGTAGCAGCCAACCTGGCATCTCTCCGGCCAGGGAGAGCCAGGCGACTCTGTGTCTCTGACCTCACTGCCTACAGCACTTGGCTGTTGGTTGCGGGATGGAAGGGGGCAGACCTGACATGGTGGATCCCGTAATATTGGGTGAAGTCCTGGAAGTCACTGGACATGAATGCCATTCCATTGTCCATGACCAGGGTGTCAGGGATGCCCTGCGTGCTGAAAATCTGCCACATAGCCTGGATTTCAGCTTTAGAGGAGGTGAAAGGCACAGGGACTACCTCCAGCCACTTGCTGTAGGCATCCACCGGAATGAAGAAAAGTTGCCCTTGGAATGGTCCCATGAAGTCCAAGTGTAACCTGGACCAGGGGCGGTGGGAGGATTCCCAGGCTCGTTCCAGGGCTCAGAGTGACTGTGGCTGGGAAGCTTGGCATGGCTGTCACCTCTTGACTATGTATTCTATGTCCCGGTCCATCCCTGGCCACCAGATGTAACTTCTGGCCAGGGCTTTCATGTGCACCACCCCGGGATGTGATTCGTGGAGGGCAGTGAAGACCCGTTCCCGTAAGGGCGTAGGGATGACCACCCAGCTTCCCCACATTACACAGCCTTTGTGGACGGACAATTCGTCCTTCCAGGAAGCAAATGCCATAAAGTCCTGCTCCCCTTTGGCCAAGGGCCACCCCCTCACCACCCAGTCCAAGACGCAGCAGAGTACCTTGTCCTTGGCCGTGCAGCGAGCCACTTTCTTGACGTGGACCGGCTGGTCCCGGAGAGACTCCAGGAGCACAATCTGGTGAGCAGGGGCTGGATCCAGGTCACACACAGGTAGAGGGAGGCGGCTCAGAGTGTCCGCGTGGCCCATCACTTTTCCTGGGCGGTGAACAAGGGTGTAGGAGTACCCTGCCAGGAAAATCGACCAGCAGAGCACTCAGGGGGAGATTATTTGAGGGGTCTGGCGGTCGGGGGCCAGGAGGCCGAGTAGCGGCTTGTGGTCTGTAAGAACCGTGAAAGGCCTGCCATACAGATAGTGGTGAAATTTTTTCACCCCAACCACAATAGCCAGCGCCTCCTTATTAATTCGCGTGTAGTTGCACTCTGCCACAGACAGTGTCCTGGGACAATAGGCAACTGGGACCTCACGGCTGTCCGGTAGCCAGTGGCCCAGGATCGCTCTGACCCCGTAAGGCAAAGCATCACTAGCAAGGACCACCGGGAGCGCTTCATTGAGGTGTCTCAGGACAGAATTTGAAACGAGTAGGTCCTTCACTGCCTGGAACGTGGCAGCTTGCAGCAGACCCCAAACCCAGGGTGCAGAGTTGTCCAAGAGGCGATGAAGCAGTTCAGCAACTGCGACCTTGAGGGGCAGGAAAGAGTTATAGAAGTTCAGAAGCCCCAGAAAGGCCTGCAGCTCTGACTTGGATGCGGGAGGGGGAGCTTGTGTGATGGCTTTCACCT